CCGCCCGCCTCGGAGCCTCGGGCGGCCTGGTCCACCCTAGGCTCCCGGCCGGGCAGGGCCAGGGTGGTTGGTGTGTGCCGGATGTAGAACTTTATGTTCTTCGTTCAGGTTTAGCGCCCCCGCAACTGGGAAAGCCAGGAAGGCTGGCTACTCTGCCACCTCGCAGACCTTCCCTGGGATCGCCTGCCATCCCGCAGCACTGGGCTTACACGGAATCCCTTCATATGCTGATTGCTATACCCACTTCAGAGATGGGAAAGCGGAGGCCCCAGGAGGCACGCGCGGAGCAACCAGGCAGCGGCAGTCAGGCTTTCACCCCATTTCTGCCCAACTCCAGGTCCTCTCCTCGGGACCACCTTGTCTTTCCAGGTGCTTGGCCCTGGGTTAGACCCTCGGTGGGCACAGAGGGGCAAAAACAAAGTGGCATCAGTCAAGGTGGCCCTGCCGTTCAGGGATTTCCAATTGTCTGCTTAAGGATTCTCCAAAGGCTGCCCTGGCTATTGCAGCTGGTTAGCTGGCTTCAGACCTCGTTGTCAGGGCCTTGGAACTTCTGATAGCCTGTTCTTCCTGCTCTGGTTTGATCTTGAAGGAACAATTTCTTAAAATATATGGTTTCACAAAAACCAAACAAGTAGATAGCACCTTAATGGGTACGTCCCAAACAGCTCTTAACCTGTTAATTTTATCGCCGTAATGGACTTTATGGGCTTTTTGCAATAAGTGGTGCTTCATATATATTTCAAATGTTACAAGGTTTCCCATAGTGATGTTTATGTTCATTCAACCGTGTGAGTGCCAACTACATGCCAGGCCCACTGGGGACACGAGGCGGACATGAAGAAGCCATTCCTGTGGCTGAGGAGGTTGAAGCCTCTCTGGATACCCTTGAAATGAGAAGTGGAAGAAGGGAGACTTGGAGAGCTTGCGTGTCCCGCCCAAAGTCACACAGCCAGCTGAGTGACAGATCTGGGTTTTGATTCAGGTCTCCCAGTCCTGGACTTGATTCCCCTTTCACATGCTGTGGCAGTCTCCCTGGGAGCTGATGGGATGGGAAGGGAGAGAGCTCTTTGCTCCCCGACCATACCAGCCCGTGGAGGGCTTCTCAAGCAGCAGCTCTTGGTCACTTCCACACAGACTCCCTGCTGCCCCCGGGGAGTCCTAGGAAACCCCTCCATGGTTCCCGTGTTCATTTGGTCAGGCCTTCTCAAGACTACCACATGGCCCAGTCTTGCTGGTCCTGGGGGAGGCCCCACTATGGAGGAGCGGGCATCAGACCCCGTGAGAGAGAAGGACAGTGGAATGCAGGTTGAGGCTGGCCAGAGGCATCTGTGAGTTCAGCAACCCGTGGCCTCTCCTAGGACCATGGGGGCTCTGGGGTCTTACATACCCACCGAAGCTGCTAATATTCCATTGCCCTTGGAGTGGGGCCCGGGGAACAGGCAGGTGTTGCAGGATGGTGGCTGAACAGGGGACGGAACAGGATGGAATTGAGCGGACCATCTAGGCCTGGGGGATGCTGAGGAGGTATGTGATCCTCTCCTGACCAGCGAGGAGTGCCAGCAGCCTGGATAAGAAAACAGAACAAAATGAAACAGAAAACACACAAAACCTAACCTGCTGCCATGAGGTTGATTCCGACTCCTGGTGTTCCCCGTGAGCCAGAGTAAAACACATAGCTCCCATGGCTTGTCTTTCAGAGGTAGAGGGTCAGGTCTTTCTTCCGCGGTGCCCTTGAGTGAACAGGAAACTCCCAGCTTTTGGTTGGTAGCTGTACTGCACACACGGGGACCTCTTAGAGTTGACATCCACTGCCATCAAGTCAATTCACACCATGGTGACCCTCGATAGGAACCCGAGGCTTCGCAAATCTCTACAGGAGCTGAAAGCCTCAGCTTTCTTCCGAGGAGCGACTGGTTGATTTGAACCCAAACCTTGCAGTTAGCAGTCCAATGTTTACCCAACAGTGCCACCTAGATCAGGGTGGGGAAAAAAGTGCCTGGGCCTGCTCAGAGCAGAGCCGTTCTGGGCCAGCTGCGGATCAGCATCTCTGAAGTCACCAGTGCCCTGACTTTGGACTGCCAGGTGCCCCTGGGGAGAGAGGTATCAGGTTTAGGTCTGAGTCCCACTAAGCCGTGCTCTTGAACTGGGGCCGGCCTCAGCCTGAGCCATGGACACTTTCCATTCGTTAGCCTTGGGTTGGGCCCAAACGGTTTACATTTTCACACCCGGATTTCTCAGCAGCGCCACGCCTGGCTCTGCTCCTGACATGCCCAGTCAGTTCAGGACAAGCCCATTTCTCCTGCCTCAGTAAGCTGACAGGAATGTTCTGGAC